CTGGGCGCTTATGCTATCATGATTATACAGTTCGTTCTGTCGCATTAGTATCTTTTGTACGAAACGCCGATAGTAGACACAGCCCTGCGTTGACTAAGTTACCCACCTCAACCCGTCGGTGTACACAGGCTATCGAGACGCATTTCATGTTTCTATAAAATCCCACCGGCCCCATCTCACGAGAGCCTCATTCTCTCTCAAGCAGCCTCAAGCACTACCCATTCGTTTCAAGCGCGTTCATAGAAGCCCCTCTTTTTTTGTGCCCTGATTGTTTGCACTTCTAAATTCTAAGATGCAGCTCACCTTTGCTCTCCCCGCCCTCCTCGCCGCGCGCTTCGTCGCGGCGATTGACTTCACAGACTACGACCCGCAGCCTGGTGTGCAACCCGAGTTCAAGGCCTTCCTCAAGGCGTAAGTTGTTCAACAATCTCCCAAAAGGAAGACTCCTCTCTTGATGAATGGATACTGACGTCTGTGATGTGTAGTCTCGTCACCCCCGCAGAAGATCCCACCGCCACGACGGCGTACACCGACTTCTTCACCGCGGACGGCATGCAGACGACGCTGAGCATCCACTGCGTCGGTGCAGATGCCATCACCAAGTGCAAGCAGCGATTCTTGCCCACCGATGGCAGCATGTCACTTACCGTATGAGAACACCTCCCATTCTTCATGCATATAACCTTCGTGCATGCAATGTGTTTGAATTGTCTGTTTGGCTAACAACATGGGACAGCACTTCCCCAATACGACGTTCATCGCAGACAACAATGCGACAGCGACTGTCTACGAGGCTCATGGACGAATTGAGAATAACTTCAAGGCGGGCAACTGCTCGCAAATTTAGTAAGTCAAGCATGAGGCTCGACTTGAAGTAGTATGAGTGAGAAAGTATTTTTCTGACCGGACTTGACTTTTAGCTACAAGACGCAGTACACTGTGCTCAAGACTACAGAAGGCGTTGACGCGGCGCCGAATTTGTCTACAAAGCCCGAGCACCAGGTGTACTGGTACCATGACTACTTCGTCAACCCGACCGGGGTGCCTTCCAACATCCCTTGCGATAGCTTGAAGGCGTGATCATGGGAACTTTCCTCGTTTTGTAGCTCAATAGCATAGCGTTGTGGCATGTGGATATTTGAATGAAGTAGACTACGCTATAAGCCGCCTGGGGTAATGATTTGTGAATTGCATGTTGACATTGGCGAAACGATGTTTCCGGGTCCACGAATGCACAGAGTCCCTCTATGCTGGACTGTACCCGGTCTCATTTAGAACTCCCGGATTCTTAGAATGGCTGAGTATGATGCAAGATCTAAAGGGCATAGACTCGGCCTTCACGTCTGGTCAGATCCTATTTAGGCCCCACAGACTTGCTACAAGACGACTTTAAAGTTCTTATGTGCCAATGCAATGGCGCGGGAAGAATTAACTAATTAAGACTCGCTGCAAGTATTAAGAAGTCTCCCGGATCGGTCGGTTGTTGTGTATGACCATGAATCCCATGTGCTTCTTCGACTTCCCAAACTATCCCACCGGCTTCACATCATTTAACTCAAAATAATTTTATTCCCGCATCTTAGGCTTCTATGTCTCGAGCAACAGGCTGCTTCAATGTCCCTTGGTTTCCGTTTTCCTCCTGATTCGAAGCTTCACGCCATTTGGTGGAAACAATGCCTCTGTGAGCCAGTAGTTCTCCGGACGCTTGCCATTGTATTCACGAGGGAACTCCACGTCATAGTGACCCAGAACGTAGGCGATGATCATCTTCAACTCAAAGTCAATCAGGAATCGACCGGGGCATGCGTGCTTCCCGTGCCCAAAAGGCAGATATTCGGGGCTCGTGGTGACAAAGGTGACCGGGGGCGCCTTCTCGTCCTTTGCGGCTGCATCCTCACGCATACGGGAGAAGCGGAAGGGATCATACTTCAGCGGGTCTTCAAGCACCTCGCCATCCGTCTGAGCGGGTTGTCCGAGGAAGGAGATGAGGGTCCCCTTGGGGAGGTGATACCCGTCGGGGGTCTTGAAGCCGTCGACCAAGACTTTTCGGAAGACGGCACGTCCGCCAAAGGAATTCAGGCGCAGGGTCTCTCGGGCGACGCTGTCGGCTTTGAGCATCTTGCTCACTTTGGCTTTTGTCCAGTTGCTGTCTCCATCGGCGTACAGTACACGATCAACCTCGTCCCTGAGGATCGTGATGGTGTTGAACTCCGTGTCTGATCCCAAAATGTTGAGAAGCATATTGGTGGCTTGGATACTGGTCTGATGCATGGATCCGAAGTTGGCTGCGATCAGACGGCGCGTCATCATGTCCAAATCGTTGAACTCTTCTTGGCGGTGGTCCTTGGCGTAACGGGCCATCATCTGCAGGTGATCTTGAGGCTCAATGTGGTCTGGGTCATCGCGAGCGTACTTCAAAGTCTCGAGACGCTCCTTCCAAAGCGGCTCGAACATCTTCCTGAGTCTGTTGATCTTGCCATGTATCGTAAAGTTGACAGCCCTACCTACAACAGGTCGAAGAACCCGAGGGCTGGCTCCGGAAGCGCCGGCGTTCATAATGAGCTGGTTGATAATATCGAAATTGAGATTGAGGTAGTCTTCATTACGACCTACTTTCCGTCAGCTTGATGTCTCTGTGCAGCCATCTATCTGGAGGGTACCTACAAAGACCCAGGCCTGGGCCGATGGTGAAGCGGCTCGCAGCCTGCGCAACGACCATTTTCAACGACTCAAATAGGTCGATTTCCTTCCACTCCGGATTGGTCCCGAACCACTTGTCAAAGGCAGTACCGAGTTCCTCGTTCATGGCGGCGCAAATATTCTCCAGGATCGCATTCATCTCGGTCTTGACCAGGTGGCCTTGCCACGCATCCACCACATATCGGTCGTGGCCAAGAGCCCAATGAACCTGATCAACCTCTGCAAAAGCGGTGCTGGGATCGAGCTGGCTTTCCGGCTGTGTCTGAACCCATCGCATCGAGCTCGTGGGCATAATGACCTCATGGCGGAAACCGATGCCTGGAATGATTACCGGCTTTCCCTTCTTGGTATACTAGGTCTAAGGTTAGCGAACGGGAGGGGATGCGAAGATCAAGACAGGATGTACTTCATCGTAGGCCTCACGGAACAGACCCTGGCAATCGGTATAGAACCGCAAATACGTGCGGATGCTGAATCGTGTGGCACCATCAGGCTCGCCAATGAGCGGGATGCCCTTGGGGTAAGGGATGCTGAGAAATAGTCGGCTGATGATATACAGCAGTGCCACTGACCCCAGCGCAAGCAAGCCGACACCGGACAAGCTGGCAACTGGTGGGAGAAGCTGCGATATGGGCGCCATCTTGTTTCGCAAAGACAGACAATTACGCTGTCGTGGTGATTGAGCGAGAGAGATGCGGGATGTAGTTCACCACATGTTGCCGGAAATCTGGGCGAAACATTCGAGCTTTAAAGGGGTCCCTAAATGCTGACAGATTCCATCCCATCTGCTGGCTAGCTAGAGTAAAACACGCTGGTTGGAGCTTTGAGCCGTGGAGTTGGAGGCGGGTGGGCCTCACAGGGAAGCCAAACAGGGATGATGGTCCTCTTAGCGCGCCCGTTTCCACGTAGTCAATGGCGGTAATTTGGATGCCTGGGCAAGCTGGGCTTCATAGGGCTGTCTCGGATCCCGTGGGAGTAATCAAGTATCGTTTGCACTCTGCTAATATGACTCTGTATGTCTGATGGGCAATATGAGCCTCTTTTTGTCATTTTGTGTCAATACATGCACAAACAATCATGACTCCAATGGCTCCAACTGGCCGGATCCTTGGTAACGATGAAATAAAGTTGGTTGATCCTAAGCTCTTAGAACACTAATAGAATACATATTTGTATTAAACACATTTATGACCTACTCTGTCGCCATTGTCATTTTCTGGATAAGGACAGCAAATGCCACTTCTCTTTACACATTCGAGTCAATATCCGTACTATCTTACCCCAGCAGGCCCAGCAGAGCCTGCTGAGACCCTGATCTTTAGCGCGATGTCAGCTCACAGAATCCCATCTTCGCAAAAATGGAATTGCGGGGAAGTACATTACGACTCTTGTGTCGTGTCTGCGATTCAACGCTGTTGGCGATTGAATAAGAAGAGCTCAAGTAGGCAATGGCTACTGCACTGTGACTCATTCACCTTCTCCAAAAGACTTAACAGTACCCAACGGGTCTGAGAGAGAAATCTTACCTGCTTTGGTCATCGATCGCTCAGTTCAAGAGGTGTTGGCTGTAGTCCAACCACGATTCAAAATAGCCTGGGTTTGAAGGCAACCGTGTAGGGGAGTGAGGCTTATGAGTGAGGTGAGTATCAGTACGATAGAACACCGTTGCATGGAACTTATTAATTCTTCTATATTCGATTGAAGCAATCTCGCAGATACGTTGACAACCGGGAAACGGGACGTCATCGTTCATTTTGGGAGTGATAGTCGTCATTCAAGCGGCTCGAGTCTCGCAAGACTGCGTAGACTACAACCATCAAATCTCAGCTTAGATCTCCTGTGAATCCTCACAGAAGAGTCTGTTGTACGTCAAGATCATCAGCAGGTTATTGCTAGCCCAACGAAACTCGGGTGGAAAGCACTCACACGCCATGGAGGTTTGGGAATAAAAGGTGAAACTTCAAGACGTGAGAGATATAACAAATGTTCCCACAGCACGAAGTTTACGAAAGTATTTCAAGACATTGATCGAATAACTGAATCTTAAGGAGGAAGTATTGAATCTAAATAAAGTCGCCTCCCAAAAATGCTTTTGAAAACAACGCCGGTATTGAATCATTCCATCTCTTTCCATCTTGGATATCCTATCTCATCTTAACTGCTATCTGAACTGTTGTGTCCCGCAAAACCGTATGGATGTCTACAAAGTATTGACGTGCTGTGGTTCGTCGACATACTGGATTGGTGATGGTAAGCGCTAGCTTTTGGTTCATAGTAGGTAGTGCCTTTGCTTACAATTTTTATGACTTAAGCTCAGCATTTGGTGTCTTATCCTTGATGGTAATCTTGAGCTCTAGCTGATCCTTCACCGAATGGCTCGTAACCGAAATGTCAACATCCATTGAGCTCGGAAACGTGTACGGATCTGACGGGTCGTCCGAAGGAAAGAACCAGTCCTTGATTGTCGTGCCGTCGTTGTACTTCACTTTCCAATGGGACCGAATAGGCTTGAAGAAGCCGCGCTCGGGAGACTCAATGCTGATACAAAAAGACGTCAAGGCTTCCAGCTCTTGCCAGCAGAGCATCACGTCGTCGAACCCGCTCTTCCCAAAGTAGCACCCCTTTGTCCACGACATGACTGATTCCCCATCTCTAGGCGTCAGAGTCGCCTGACTGATGTCCTGAATCATCCGGACATCGGGGGATGTCGGTACATTGTGCTGCGTGAGCTCGAAGCTCTTTGACGCCAAGTTGCTAAATGTGAGGGAATGATCGGGACTAATCATTCTGACGTTTGGGTTGTACATCCTAGGGCTTCCGCGCAAAAGGCGCGCGCTTCGGTGCTATGTGTTGAGTATAAATATCCGTAAGGGTGCAAGGATGGAGTGATCGCGGCGTCGTCGGGATTTCTCGCCAAGCGTGGCAGAAACTCAGTAATGTGGTGGAAGTCCGGATGAAGATGAAAATGGGCGCTGGCAGGGGGGGCACATTCCATTCATAAGGCAAAGACATGTGAGAAATGGCTTCCCCAAAAACGCCAGGAAATCTGGTAGCTACCAATGGTTGACAAATTCCCGTGGCAAGGCGCTGCTTCCGGTAAGGAACGATACTTGGCTGGCTTACGGTGACGCTCTCGTGACTTGCCACTGCATTGTCGTTGTCGAATGAATTAGGAATGGTTTATGGATATGATGGGACGACTGGAAGTGGCAACGACTATTACCAGTTTTGGTTTGGGATGCTTCCGTTTGCGGAACGAGTGCGCTCGTTGCCGTGCCTGTCCAGAGTCGACTCTGGCTTACGCTGGGCCGGAATGCGGAAGTCTCAAGTCATTCACATCATCTCGGCCGATCAGTAATTCTGGGTCTTCAACGCAATCGCACCATCACGGGGTTTGATGTGTGGCTGGTCTTCTGGGTCAATCTCAAGTCCGTGAAAAGGTTCTTCCCATGGAGAGATACTGTCGGGGAACCACAGGTGATGGCCGAGTATTTCCTCTTCTTTAGTTCTCCTACTCATTCTGCCGTTTTCCGAACAAAGACGTGGAATGTTGGGGGGGGGGGGGAGGCTAGCTACGGGCCTCAGCCAGTGTGCATTCCCCGGATTCATTGTTGAGCGAGTCAATACTAGTACGAAGGCGTGGAAGGGTCTCGACCGTTGGCTGAAGTCGGGTATACAAGTGAGACAAAGTCGGGTATACAAGTGAGACACAGCTGGGGCCCAGGATTGTCTATTCTTCACGTTGAAAAGCTTCGTCGAGCACACTGGCAAATGATTGTTGGAGGACCTTAAGTCAAATGTGCTATCATTCCTCATGGACTTCCAATACACTCTCCTTCAAACATATTTGGGCCCAGGCCCGTATGAATTATGTGGTATTAATCATTTGCTGTGTTGGAGAGCTTAGGTTTATCACGGTTCCAAGCAAGTCCCAAGCTCAGCCAATAAGTCCTCAGCCAAGACATCAATAGCGCCGGTTCTTTCGTCTTCAATGCCGAACGAGAGGAACAAAACATCGTCCAAGAATCCGTGATACCTCTGGTCTTGCCTCTTCCAGCTCATGGAGGTTACGTAAAACATGTCGGACCCTCCACCAAGTTTCTCTTCCCGCCCGTGTATCCATATGGGTCTCTTTGACATGGCGAATACCTCGAACGGGGCCTTTTGTCTGAACACCATCACATACGGTTCGTACTCGCTGTGGAACTGATAGAAAGTTTTGTGCTGGAACACCGTAAAGACAAAGGTATTGTCACTAGTGGCTTTGCACGTTGGGTCGCTGCGCTTGCAAAACGTAATGCTCAGCGAGTTCGTCGCCTGGTGTATCGATTCGAGATCCGGCGGGAGCTTCGGCATGTACTTGCTCATGCAAGCCTCATCCCCGGCAGCCAACGGCCCGAGGTTCGGGCCTACGGAGCCGTCCGCGTTCAACTTCGCAAAGACTCGCTTCGGCGCCACGTCGTGGTGGACGTAGACTGCGCCCTCTTCGTCCCAGAACGGAAACCAATTCTTCTCCATCATGCCCCAAGGCGCAGGACGCTGGAGCTCCGTTCCCAGCGCGAAACCTTGGTCCAACGACATCTCGAAGCCCCAGTCTCCGAGAGTTCGGAAGTCCTGCATGAACTGTCCGAAGCAGGCGAATATCGAGTTGGAACCGTATACAATGAACGGGGCTTTGGGTCCGTACAAGACCCGCGCATCGTGAGGCCCAACGTTCATGGCGATGTAGGCCAGTTTCGGTGGGCACTTGTCATCACCGCTCTTCGTGGCTGCGATGGGTAGAACCGTGGGCGCATCGACGCAGACGAGACCTTCCAGCGTGAAGGTGGCATTACAAGTGATTTCCACATGCTCAGAGTCGTCGTGATTTATTTTCCGCCTTTGCGCAACAATAACATAGGTATTCTCAATGGTGGGATGCGGGATGATATTGGGATTGATCGCGCCTTCATCGTCAAATCGTATGGCGAAAAACTTCTTGTTGAAAGTTGACGTCGAGAATATCTCATGATGTGTCTGTTTTGATGCGGGCGGATGCTCAGGCGCGCCATCTACAGGTTGTACCTCCGTCGGTACGTCCGAAGACGCCGGCCGCGAGTGCGGTTTGAGTTCATCGCCTTGTCTCCAATTCGGTGCAAAGATGTGATCGAACCAGGAATTGAACCCTGAAGCAGAGTCTCTGAAGTCGAGACACCGTATACCGACATAAACGAGAAACAAGAAGGGGCCTACGATGAGGATGACGCGCTTGAAGTCTCTAGCTATCATCGCGAGGTGGGAGGATTGTCTGCATGCGCCGAGGTGTCGAGGGACAAGCGACTGGAACGGGCGGCACGTCGAACGTGGGGTCGGAGCATGCAGAGTCAAGTGATCAAGCTAGTCCTATTGACAGATAACCTTGCGGTGAATGTGTAGGTAGGCACTTGGGGTGCTCAATTCCGATAGTGAGGTTACGTGAAAGAGCAGGTCTGGGACTTTGGGGGTTGCGCGAAATTTCCCCGCAACATGTGCTGGCCGAGCTCCAGGACGATGGATCACGATTGCATCACAAATGAGAGTTCCAAGGGATGTGGGGGACCTGGAATGCAAGGCTGTCGAAGTAAAGCTAAGATGAAAAACACGGGGAGGTGTTCGGGAGATGTATGCCGTGTGATGGGGATCGACAGACGAGCAAGTGAATACTACCATGGAAGTTGGAGCTTTCAACTTCCCCTCACTTACAAGTTGACAAGCACGGCCGACTATTGCTCGTCAACCCCAGCCACCCGCATTTTTAGTGCGAAGGGTCAGGTAAACTGGGATGCATGCACAAAGCTTAGTGATGGAGTGTCCCTCAGATCAACTCTCAAGTTTGATCAAAGATTAGCTCCTCAAGCAGATCGGTGAATGGTAAAGCATAATCTCGCTATTTCGAGCATGTGAGCATGTGAGTTACCTCGGTGAGCTGCGCGAACCCCTGGCCTGAGTTGCAATCCTATTCCCCTCACGAGCTGCCACACCACTTCCATTTTGGGGAAAGCATCCGCTCTTGCAGCGTCATTGGGTGTGATACAGCTGCAAGTCGATAGGAAAAGCAGACACAGGAGAAATTGAGGTTCGGACGGGAAGAGCAAACCCCCAACTTTACCTGCTGCAGGCTGAGTTAACTAGACAGCGCGTGGCGGACTCAGTCCCGCCAGCACCGCTGGATCAGCCTGGCGGCCCGCGTGGCAAGTCTATCGTCGCTGCATACTAGACGGGCTCTAGAGTTCAACTAGAATAGGCTCAGGTCCATGGTTCTGGATAGCAGCCAATCCGATTGCACCGTGACATTGAGCACCTCGTTTGTCTGAGCGTCTTCGTCTAGTCTTGCGTGGTGGAACAGTGTTGTCAATTGATCAAATATAAGTGGTTTACACTAATCATTACTTCGTGCTAGATGCCGTAAATGTCTCGGCAGTCCCGAAATACATGTGCCCAAACGCCAAATCCCCCTCAGCCTATCTCAAGCCTTTGCTGGCGCTGTTGGCAGTGTTTTCCGGTAGAGCCACTGAGCGATTTTCACACTAGGCTCATCAATGAACCTCGTGACAATCTCAGCGATCCAAAGAGTGACCGGAAGAAGTATCACATGAGGAATGAGGAAAGCCGGTTCCAAGCCGAGGGGCCCAACCTTGGGTAACGGAAACCTGTCGACTAGGTGCGCGAGATGTTGTCGCTCCGTCTCTTTGTGGTACCCGACGGCTGTGTAGAGTCGATCGCCCAGAGTCCCCAAAACGGGTCCGTGGACCAAGTAGAGGGCAAAGGAGATTCGTCCTAGATACTGACAGAAGCGTGTCTCGAAGAATCTCTTCAGCCACCAGATTCGTGGAACCGCAGATACCAGCATCGTGGCTGCCCAGAAGAGGTAAAACCACTTGTAATCGAAGACGGCTTGAGGCTTGAGAAACGACAAATAGTACCACCCGCGGTTCTCTCGCATCTTCATGACGTCTCCGGTGTAAGATGGGATACCACCGAGATACATCGAGACGGCGAAGAGGTGGTAGTAAATGAAAATTTTGGCGGGTTCCAGTCGTTTAAAGAAGCTGGGGAGATCGTTCTTCTTCGCCAGGAGGTCGAGGTCGCAGAGCATCATGCCCATGACAAACATGGCTCCGTACCATCCGTCGGCGATGTACATGAAGTAAAAAGCCAGACCAGCCTCACACCAGAGTCGAGCGTTTCTGGTACACCTGGAAAATGCGACCAGAGACGTGTAGACGATGACTGAGCCCTTCATTTCAACAGGGATGGACCAAAGGTGTGGATTCCAACTGAAGAAAGGACCGCCTCCAGTGGTGAAGACGAAGCTAAAGTTCTTCAGCTCGCAATAGTAGAGCCAGACGTCATCTCTCCAAGTTGGCGCACGCTCAATATTGTCGACCCAGATATTGAACATGTGGAGGAATGTCATGTAGAAGAAAGTTGTCGCCGCCAATGGGATATAAAGTCTTAGCCATCGCCTGAATAAGGCTGATCCGACATTCTCTGCGAATTTTCCGTGGTCTCCGGACTGGATCAAGCTCAGAGGTTTAGCGGAGAGGACGTAGCCGGATATGACGAAGAAGACTGATACTGAGAAGTGGCCTCCAGTAAATAAGTGGCGGATGCCAGGAAAGGCAATAAAGTGATATTTGTTTTCGTATCCAAAGGCGTTTTCAAAGATTCTGTTTTGGACGTGAGGTTCATGAGCCCATAGTTGATTGTGGTGCCAGTATACCAAGAAGGCAGCGAAACCTCGCAAGCCGTCAAGGTATGCTGTGGGCCGCAGCTTCTCTGGATTTTTGGTGTCTTTGATGGGCCAGAAGAAGGTGCTCAGACTGGAGATACTCAGTCGAGATGGCCGCCTAATTCGTACGAGGGAAGCAGGCTTCCAGTCGCTTTCATCTGCGAGCCATTTGGACTTGTCGCACCAGGTAGGCTTAACTTCATCCCACTCGTGGCTGTCGAGAATGCCTTCGTTTCGTGGAGGCATCTTCAGGCTGTTGAAGACTTTGCTGAAGACAATGAATCGTGTAAGAAGGAGTCTTTTCAGCCTCAAGCTGACACTTGATGCGTGCTTACGGTCGAGGACGGCCGCCGGGTGTCCTCGCTTGCGTGATGCTGCAGGAAGAGGTGTTCTCGACCCTTGCCTCTCCGGAAATTTTGATGATTTGGTAAAAGAGGCACGGGTTCTTTTCAGTATCAACGAATCCTGCACGGGCTCATCGGCAGTCGTCAGCCAGGAGGTTGCTCCTTGAGTCCTGGGGCGGGTGTAGTCCGGCTTGGCGTTGATCGACTGAACCTTGCGTTGCCTTCTCCGCGCAAAGTCAAAGGCCCATAGACTTAGTTCGTGTCAACAAGTCGTTCATCCAGAGTTTCACAAGCCAGGAAAAGAGGAATAACCAGCTGAACCTGACAAAGATTCCTCGGTCGAGCCAAGACAGCATGCGGGGTGGCGCTGTAAGTCCAGGATCAGAGGTCCACAGTCCTTCCGGGGGCTCCTGGTTCGATATGCGGGGGATAGACCGGGGTAGAATGCGGAGAGCCAGGCTAAGACTCCAAAGTCCAACGACGAAATGATCAAAGTTAAGCGGCGTAGGAGCGATATCACTCATCTCCCTCATCGTGACGCATCTCCTCCTTCGTTGGTTGCAATCAAACCGGGCGTCCCTGGCAGCTATCACAAGCGGCGTAGCATTCAGTCGGCCTAGCTTGGGATTATCATCCGACACACAAACTGCTCCTCCGACTCGAGCACTCGGCCGGTTGAGCAATCGAGAGGGCAAGAATCCCCTCGTGAAATTTGCATTATCCACCTGCAAGCCCACCTGATTTGGAAGGTTCCACCGCCTTTGCCTCCCCTGACTATCAGAGCCGTTGGTGCCGGTGGCCAGGATCGGCCCAATGGACGCTCGAACAAGCTCAACGTCCCGGCGCTATTATGGCGCAAAATGCGACCAGCTGCAATGAGTGGTCCTCGTCACATCCCCGCTGGCCTGAATGGCTTCGATCCTCCAGCTGTCTGACTCTTTGGTAGTGTAAGATGGTGGCTTGCTCACTGCTATCCGGCCGCACGAATGAGGATAGGAACCGTTGAGCTCATGTTCCAGCCTTGCTCGTATCGAAAGACAGTGAGAGCAGCCACTCACACACACGGAAGGTCCCAAACTTAATTAGATAACAGAGGCAAGGCAGTGGCGTCAGTAAGGCACAGACGGGATGAACACGATGCGACTTTACTTTTGGTGACCTCGGCGTTTTCCCTTCTTTACCCTGGCACCCGGCTCGTGACAATGATGCGCAACTGATAGGCGAGGAGAGTGGGGGAATTGGCCGGAACAACTGTAGGGAAATCCCCGCCTCGGCGATGAGTATACTCTGGGGTTGTGTGCCTGCATGGAGAAAGCTCCTCAAATTTCGACATGCATCCCACTCGTCTTGCTTGTTCTTATGCTCGTCGCATCTTTGTCAAAGCTTGGTTCAAAAGCTTCTTCGGTCGAACACCTCCACTTCTCTCTGGACGACTTCGGACAACATGTCTTCACCCATCATGAGTCCATTGAGTCCATTGAGCCCTACGGGCTCGACCAAGGCAAACTTGTTCAGAAACAGAGTCCCGACACAACTCAGGAGATGTCTGCCTTTGTACATTGCTTGTGTATGCATAATTCTACTCGTTCTCAACATCGACTTGTTCGGGTCGATGCCCAAACCTGTCCACCTCTCCAAGCGGGGTGGTCGCCACGCAACAGCAAGCACTCGTGGATTCCCTAAGAAAATATGGCAGAGTTGGAAGGTTGCGCCCTTCTCATTCGAAGCCGAACAGATTCTCACTGCACGGACTTGGACGGACAAGAACCCTGGGTACCGGTATGAAGTCCTAACCGACAACAACGACATGGAGTATGTCGAAGAGCACTACGGCCCTGACGGATTCGATCGCCCGGATATCGTCGACATGTATCGCAACGTTAATGCCACCATCATCAAGGCGGATTTGCTCCGCTACATGATCATGTACGCCGAGGGAGGAGTGTACGCCGATATTGATGTCGAGGATCTCCGACCTGTCAGCCGATGGATCCCGGAAAGATACAAAGAGGCCGACCTCGATCTCGTCATTGGCGTCGAGATTGACCAACCGAACTTCAAGGACCATCCCATTCTCGGCAAGAAGTCCATGTCCTTCTGTCAATGGACATTCATGTCGCGACCTGGTCACCCCGTCATGCTCAAGCTTGTTGAGAACATCATGGCATGGCTTACTGAGGTCTCCAAGAACCAACGTGTGCCCATCTCAGCAATCAAGCTTGACTTTGACGAGGTCATCAGCGGTACCGGTCCCTCGGCCTTCACCAAAGCCGTCCTGGAAGTTATGAGTGCGCGTTCTCGATCCGGGCCAGTTACTTGGGACACATTCCACGACATTGACGAGTCAAAAGTTGTCAGCAACATCCTCGTTCGCGATGTCGAGTCCTTTGCCGCCGGCCAGGGACACTCGGATTCTGGGAACCATAACTCCAGGGGCGCTCTTGTCAAGCACCACTACCACGCCTCCAACTGGCCGAGTCGTCACCCCCGCTTCAGGCATCCTATCTTCGGCGAGGTAGAGAGATGCAACTGGAACATTGAGTGCGTCATCAAGTGGGACCAGGACATTGCCGCCTTCAACTCTCTCTCCCCCGAGGAACAAAAGCAAAAGGTCGAGGAGCATGAGAACCTTCAGAAACTTCAGGCACAACAGAACCAGCAAAAGCTGGAACAACAAAAGGCCGCTGAACAAAAGGCTGCCGAGCAGCCTTTGATGTTCCCGCCGCCTCAACAGCCTCTTCAAATACCTCCTGTAGATCCTGCACAACAAGAGGAGCTGAAGATGGTATGAAGGGGCCCAATTCACAGACCCGAAAGTCTGCAAACTATCCTCACGGCGCCGTCGCCTCGACGGTTAAGATCGCCGCGTCACTAGCAAGAATAATGACGCGCAAGATCGATTCGCGCGCTCGAAAAGCAATGCGACAAACACGAAGCATTACGAGTCAAGAGTGCGAGATATGGTTATGAACTTGAATTTTCCCCGGTAGTCAGCCGGAAGAGCTGCGCGGGATATGGTACATGACGTGTGGAATTGGGTGGCAATTGCATGATGATCCTCTGATGTCTACAGGTTGAGCATTTGGACTAAACCAGGATGCTAGGGCTCAGGACATCATGGCCACTCGCATGATTAGACACATAAATAGCTGAGAGCGACATACACAAGACTAGGAACGAAGATACCCTTCACAACTCCTGTACATACCTTGGTAGCGCATTTTCATTACCGGCGGCATCTTTACACAATGCTATATGTTCTGACTTGGTTCAAATCAATGCTCCATCAATTCAAAATCCCTCAAGCCGTATAGTGCTCTGCTTTGTATTATTGCTTTGGGCCGACAGCGCTTCTCAGTTGGATGTTTAGTCACAGCTGAACAAGCGTCTCTCAAAAAATGAAGATTCTGATTTCATGATATATATAATGAAGTTAATGCTATGTGCTTCCAAGCCCTCTCGCACCTCGATCCGGACTTGAACCCAAATTCGGGACAATTTATGTACAAATTTCGGGCTTCCATGACTTCAAAGCCTCCTCATGCCTTGATTACCCTTCTGAGCCGCTACTTCAACTCTTTAGAAGGTAAGCTTCTGGCCAGCCTGTCCAGGGACGGTAGCAACGACATTGGCGGAACCGAGCAGGCTGTAGGAGTAAGGGGGAGAGTTGGCGTTCATGGTACCGACGGGGGCCAGGTTGGAAGCACCACCAAGATCGTTGTCAATGGCAACAGCGTATCCAACGATGTCGGAGTCCTGAGAGGTGATGGGAACAGTGACGTTCTTGAAGACGTTGCTCTGAATCAGGACCTGGGCATTTTGGCGTGTATTGATTCCAGAATTACCGCTAGACACGAGGCGTTAGTCATATTGATCTTTGTCTTGGGAGTAATAATTTAAACTCTAAACATTGACGAGGTACATACTTGAGGTAGTAGGAGTTGTAGACGTGGCCAGTACCGAAGCGCAGAGACGGGCCGCGAGAGCCGAAGTTAGCCCAGTAGTTGTTGGCGTAGGTGATGCGCAGGTGGCCGCTGTCCTCTGCACCGTTGTTCTCGCTGTGTCCGACCAAAGAAGTCTTCCAGTGGTCGTGGAAGTATGTGCTGATGAATGTCAGCAAGCATCCCTCACTCCGGCTGAGTAGAAGACCTACTAGGAAATGGTCATGTAGTCGGCAGCGTGGGAAGCATCCACGAGACCGTCATAGTAGTCCTTGTCAGATACAAGGGCCGAAGAGAACTCGCAGTGGTCGATCCAAACATTGATGCTTTCCTAAGGAGAGAAGATCCGTCAGGTTTGATGCTCGGCATTATAGCTCATCTAAGAAGGCTGCTCACCTCAATCTTCACGCCATCACCAGTTGAGGCAAGCACGTTGGTAGACTTGATGTTGCGGATAATTACGTTGGACATGCGGCGGACGTACAGTCCAATGCCGTTGAATCCTGTAAGACGAGAAGGTAAGCTAGGGTGCGGGCAACATGAGGTTTGAATGATTCTCACCTGCACCAGCAGATGCGCCAATGACGGACTTATTGCTACCGATGCGAACGTTGGCAGTGCCGCTGATGGTGCCCTTGACAACCACGATCCTTGCGGCGGTATCTTTCTCGTTGACAGCGGCAGTGAACTCGGCCAGGGTAGAGACGGTAGTGACCGTGCCACCGGATCCTCCTGAAGTTCTACAACACTATTAGCTCTGCTGCGTTTCAAGATCCCTCGCTATCAAACCTACCCTCCGTTCAGAGTGGCATAACCGAGAGTCGCCTTGTCTGAGATGGAGGCTCGCTTCACGAGGTGGGCCTTCTCCGCAGTGTAGTCGACGGTAGGGGTCGGAGTCGCAGCCGCAAGGGCGAAAAGCGTAACCAAGGCGGAGGTGATCTTCATCTTGCAAGTCCGTGTGCAACGATGATGATTAGAAGGGTATCAAGGGGAATTTTAGGGTCTGCCAACAGATATCAAGGTCGAGGGTAGAGGATGCCGAGCAATCCAGAACCCAGAAACCATGTTTCATTACCATCTCTTTATACAACATCTTCAAGCTTTCGATCGGATGCTTTTCCGTCAACGCAACAGGGATATTATGATCACGAGATGGTGCTGAGTCTCCACGGATTACGGTTTACGCTCACGAAATGCAGGCATAGCTTCAGGCAAGCCCTCGAAATCTGAGATTCAAGGTACGAGAAGGTAACATTGATGGACGGATTAGAAAACATGATCATTCCGCGAATGGCAGCGTGCTCCTGGTATGGAGTTCATCGACCCCTCGAGCTGGTCTTCCGCTGGCTCTCCAGCTGTCGTAGAGAGACCCCTGTTCCGTAGGCAAATTGCGAACCAGAAGTAGTGAGATTGCCCACGCTAACGCCATCGAACACAGGCGAATCACAAAAGAGGAGGCGCCGTCCAAATCAAGCTTGTTTACTAAGTTGAAGCTTTCCGTCCGCTAATGACTTCTTTATTCGGTGGGGAAACGTCTTGTGTCATGTAAAGTTGAGCCCTTGACTGCAGGACGGGGGGTGGGTGTCCGGGGTAAACATTTGGGAAATTTCCTCAAATCAGCATTTCGCCTTGGCCCAGCGTGCAGGTACCGGCAGCATCCGGGAACCAGACACTTACCGTCGAAGCCGTGGCATCTCATAGAGGAAACAGAGCACAGAATATGATTGGCGATTTCCAGGTGTTCATGCAAGGGCGGCAGTTTGAAGACGCGTCTATGCAGCTGAGGCCATTGTTTGGACGGAATTGACAAGTGGGAGTTTTTCCCGTGGTGAGAAGAGGTCTGCAAGTGAATAGGATGGAAACGAGGAACAGCACGAAATTCGAAGGGCCGTTGTTCGATTGTGTGCAAAGATTCTACATTCTTCGACTTTATGCCTTCAATATGAGCCTGCCCTTGAAAGTAGTACGAAATATTCATTGCCAAGTGACAGCCGTTGCACAATAGAGCGTAAGGCATGTTCGGTCCTCACTAGTCACAACGGGTACTTAGTACGTAATCTGACAGACGTTCCCTTACAAGATGGTCGCATCATTCTTGTAGGCATATGCGGGTGACCTTGTACTTTCGCCTCCGCGCAGGTATGATGCCGGACATCCGAACACGAGCAGTAGTTTTATTCGGGTACAGATTGCCGAAATATCTCGGCTTCCAACCGTCTGGAACTAAGATTCCAGAAGGAATAAGATCGACAATACTTGAAGAGCCCCATCTAGCTGTTGAATTATCGGCTAGCGTAGTTGGAGTCTGCGACATGAACGACGTCGAATTTAACGGAACCTGACATATCTTGGCATCGCCAAGATGGGCTTGGCACGAAAGGTTACAGCCGGATGATGAAGCGAACTGTTGCCGCTGGCGAACAATCTCTAGGGTGCTTCGACATCTACAGAAGTTAGAAATAAATGACACACATAAGGCTTTCCAACGTCAAGGTTTCATTGAATCTTCTCCAAAAGTCTTGGGCCTTCTGCAAAAGCTAGCAGTTGTGGAGACTAAGAATCACTACTTCAGACTTGAGAGTCCTCCGAAGGCTTTGATTCGTGGAGAGACTTTATATGTATTGAACATCCGCTTCCGAACAGATTCTAGCCAGTGATAACACATTTCAAAGACATCGTGTATTGATACCTACGAAGTGCAAACTACCTTACCTGACTAAACAAATAGCAATCTCTGAATGGATCTACTTAAGATGAGGGGCGTTGTAGCGGTGCGTAGTTCGACTCCACAACTCATTACCACTCATCTGCAGTTCGATCCCCTCCATGTAGGTCTTCAGTGCATCAGAGCAGCCCTCCTGGAGCTTCTGCTGGACGATGGCATCGTGCTGTCTCTCCCACTCCCGAATCATGACCCAGCAGGTTCGCTTCGCGCCATCGTAGTCAAGGCCACTCTCATCAGCCAGAGTTTGTACAATGTTGCTGACGATGGAGCCCTCAGCCGCGATATCTTTGGAAGCTCGAAGCTCCTTGTCCCAGCTCATGACATCGTTGATGACGGAGATGTGGTGCGTGTAGTTGAGTTCCAGATCAGCAACTGAGGCCAATTCTTCTTTGCTGAGGTAAATTGCATCCTGGAAGCGCTGAGTAGCTAGAAGCACGCTGCAGAAGGTCAGATGATCGAAGCTTGAAGTTGAACATCATGAGACTTACGCAGAAGCGACGTCGAGCTCTCGATACTTGAGATATTCTGCCACACTCTTCTTCGCCAGACGATCCTTGTCATTTTGAGACCGCCAAAAGGCGAAAGTAGGCTCTTCAATGTCATCCGAGAGCTTCTTGTCGATGGATCTCATATCTTCCCAGACATTCAAAACCATCTTCTCAATCGGCGAATCTTGGGCAGGCACCGTCTCACCCTTAACGATAGAGATCAACCGCTCGTTGTAGGACGAGCCTTCCTTCAGTGAAAGATGCTCTAGCAAGTCTAAAGATCCAGAAGAGTCAGACCATACTCTTGACATGGGTACAAACAAGTCCCACTTACCATCAATAAGGAAGAGCATGACCATGAAGCGACAAGCTGCACCGACCCGGTCCTCGCGGGCCGTCGGGTACTGGCACAAGTGCCAAGTTGGTAGACCTTCAGCAACAAACTGGAGCTTGGTTCGCTCATCAGGGAAAGGCCAGTTGTTGAGGAAGTAGTTGTTGACCTCCATGGTGATCCTCAACCCAGATGGGTGAAGTCGTCCCACCATGTGGGAACGTGGAGGGTCATTGTTCTTGCGTCTAGCCATTGGGGCCTCTGTGATGACCATATCAAGTCTGGAAGGCATTATACGATGGGCTG